CCATATACTTCGGCTAATAAGCGATACGCTTCAGCTGCGGTTTTCTTGAGGTCGAAGTAGTGAAGAAGCTTATGTCGGAAAAACAGCTTATCGCGATTCATTTTAAATCGATTGGAAAATCTCTTTGGTTAGATTTCCGAGAAATCTAACCTGTGAGGGTTCAATCACTTTCAGCGATGTCTAAACTACAAAAGACATGTGACTTCATCGTCGAAACTCGTCAGCGTTGGAGGCAGAGCCCTCTAGTAACGAGCGATAGGAATTAAGTTTAACACCTAATACAATAGATATTTTAAGCTTTAAGCCTTAAGAAATTGACCAATTACAGTCGAATCCGAGAAGAATAAGCGACTGTGATTCGCCCATTTCTTATGGCTTCAGGCTTAAAACATTTATTGTAAATCCGGGGTAAGTCGGGGAAATATGCCACACTTAAGCGAAATTAGATTTTTAAATAATTATTTGTTCAATTTAATATAACTTTACATACTGATCTTTTTCTTCCATCCTTTATCTATTATTTGTGTATAATTGGAATCGAATATATTCATTTTTATTATTAAAAATAAAGAAATACGAAAGTGCTGAAAGATGAGTAATATGTCATCTGTTCCAAAAATGCGACGTTGCCATGATCTATAATTCTTCTTACTTACTACATGATACGGAGGTTTTCTTTTTTTTCTTAAATTTATTTATGATTTAATATTATAAGTATATAAAATACTTTGTTTTTTTATGTTTAGATTTTACATAACGATATATTTAGAGATATGTTTGAGTCTGTTGTTGAGTTGCATACCCTACTTAAAAATTCCCATTGAAATCAATAGAAATCAATATATATATATATATATATATATTATATATATATATATATATATATATATATACACCATGGTATATATATATATATACCATATATATACCATATATATACATAGGATCCCTATCTAAAGCTTATTCAAAAGTGGTCTTTTTATTCACTGTAAAAAAGTTTTTCTTAACAATTTTTTGAAACATTGAGACATAAAACTTGATATCATAAGGGATAATATGTTTGTCTGAATATGGTTTCCGGTATTCGTTTTTAAGAAATCATTGAGCAAAGTAAGTAGCAAAGTAAGCAAAGTCGCTATTTTTTTTGATCGGCGGCAGTAGTGACGGCGGGAGGCATTTTATATCGTATAAAAAAACTTGTAAACACATTAAGATTTATGGAATATCTTATACTATATAAAAGTGAAATAAATTTTCATAAAAATTTTCATAATGGTGAGCATTAATGTGCTCATTAGGTTGAGCACAACTGTAGTCGGGGGACGTCCATAAGTTCGATAGAAATGTAATGGGAATGAATCGCTTCAATGAGAAACATAAATTCATCCGATTAAAAATTAATAAAATTCAGTAGGATTTCTATCTTCTATAAGAATTGATAGATTTTTGCCCATTAGAAGTATTGGTCATATCAATTAGATGTAATAAGATAATTGCAACTTTCAGAATTAAATGGGATTTAATCGATCATCCTACTATACATATTCAATGGGATTTAAACAGAAGATTTACGTGATGAAGTTCAATAAGATCGCATCAGATTTTACACGAGTGGTGTTCAGTGGAAATTTTAATCTGAAAAAATTGCTTCGACCGAATGTAATAAGATACTATCGATTTTTATAGTGATTTTTATACATGTTCAATAGATTTTAAAGGCGTATAAAAGAAATGATTAAATCTCATTGAAAACAATGAAAATGAATTCCCGATTAAAATCGATAGAATCCCATTAAAATGCCTTTTCAATTAAAACCCATTAAACATGTATCATATAAAAACCAACAGAATGCCATTAAAAACTGTGAAAACGTATTTCCGATTAGAACCGATTAGAATGCCATGAAAGCACATTCGTGATAAAAATCTATAAACGCGTTTAAAAGAAATGATTAAATCTCTGATTGAAATGAATTCTCAATTAAAACTGATAGAATCTTATTAAAATGCGTATTTCCGATTAAAACCCGTTAGGGTGCCATATGAAAACCGATAGAATCCCATTACGTTTCGTCATTGCGCGGCTTTCCTATTCGATTCCATTGAACGCGTATTGAATAAAAAACCGAATAGATCCTATTGCTTTTGACAAACGCGCATCTCTCATTCAAGCTCATTAAACGCATATCCTATTAAAACCAATAAAATTCGTCTAAGCGTGTGTGTGTGTGTGTGTGTGTATTGTGTAAATCCCAATAAAATCTCATTAAACTTTAAAAGTGATTTTCATATTAAGATCTTTTAAATGGATTGTATGCGTGACCATCTATTAAATCTTATTGAAATTGTAACATGGATAATCTGATTTGAACCTATTACATTGTTGTAGGAATTTACCAATTGATTCTCCTTGATTTTCTAGGAAGGGAATCAATCGGAGATTGTTGTTGCGCATTTCAGATTCAAACCCATAAAAAATTTTTCAATCGATTTTAATGAGAATTTTTAAGCAGAGTAATCGGAGTATAAAATATCTTAAAGCATAATATCGTCAAATAAATATTATGCGATGAAAATTTATGATATTTAAACGGTTATTGATAATTTGTTTCAAAAGATACTGAAGAAATACTGGAGAGTCAAGACCCTAAAAATATATTTTTCCTC